CTCAGTTACAGTGGGGCAAAAAAGTATTTAGTCAGCCACCGATTGTGCAAGTTCCCCCACCTAAAATGATGACAGAGGTCAGTAATTTGCACCAGAGGTACACTTCAACCGTGAGAGACAGAATGTGAAAAAAAAAAATCCATGAATCCACATGGTCTCAAAGACTTTAGAGTCAGACCTGTTACAGATCGTCAACTTTTCCTTAATGTCAGGTGTGTTTCCAGAACCACTAAAAACTGCTGTAATCAAACCTATACTGAAAAAGGACAATCTTGACAAGACACAAATGAAGAACTACAGGCCGATCTCAAATCTCCCATTTTTAAGTAAGATCATTGAAAAAGCAGTTTCTCAACAGCTCAATTACTTCTTAAAACAGAATAACTGCTACGATGCCTTCCAGTCAGGTTTTAGACAGAACCACAGCACTGAAACTGCTCTGACCAAAGTGTTTAATGACATATGTCTGAACACAGACAGTGGAAAAATGTCAGTCCTAGTTTTACTGGATCTCAGTGCAGCATTTGATACAGTTGACCACAACATATTACTCAAACGACTGGAGAACTGGGCAGGTCTTTCAGGAACTGTACTAAACTGGTTCAAAACATACTTAGAAAACAGGAAATACTTTGTATCAATAGGTAACTTCACATCCGAGCAGACAAGTATCACATGTGGAGTTCCCCAAGGTTCCATCTTGGGACCCCCTCTGTTTAACATTTACATGCTCCCACTGGCACAGATTATAAAGAACAACAAAATAAACTACCACAGCTATGCAGATGACACACAAATATATATCACAATGTCACCAGGAGACCGAGGCCCTGTACAGGCTCTTGGTAAATGCATTGAGGAAATTAATGACTGGTTGTGCCACAATTTTCTCCAACTAAACAAAAACAAAACTGAAGTAATAGTCTTTGGCGCCAAAGAAAAACGATTACAGGTCACCACAGAACTTCAATCTATACATCTAAAAACCACAAACCAGGCGAGAAATTTGGGTGTAGTGATGGATGCAGACCTAAACTTAGAAAAACACATTAAGACAATAACAAAATCAGCTTACTATCACCTCAAGAATATTTCTAGGATAAAAGATCTGATGTCTCAACAGGACCTGGAAAAACTAGTCCATGCATTCATTTTTAGTAGGCTTGATTACTGTAACAGCATCTTTACAGGTCTACCTAAAAAAAATCAGTCAGACAACTACAGCTCATTCAGAACTCTGCTGCTCGAGTCCTCACTGAGACCAAAAAAAGTGGACCACATCAGTCCAGCTCTGAGGTCTTTACACTGGCTGCCTGTCCGTCAGAGGATAGACTTTAAAGTTCTGATGCTGGCCTATAAAGCTCTGAATGGTTTAGGACCAAAATACATCAGTGACCTCCTAACCCAGTATGAACCTTCCAGATCCCTCAGGTCATCTGGATCCGGTCTTTTATCAGTTCCCAGAGTCAGAACCAGACACGGAGAAGCTGCATTCAGCTTCTATGCTCCTTATATCTGGAACAAACTCCCAGAAAGCCTCAGATCAGCTGAAACACTCAGTTTATTTAAATCCAGGTTGAAGACTCACCTATTCTCAGCTGCATTTGAATAAAGCACCAAATCCACACTTTTAAGCTTAAATTTCATAACTTACACTAACTACTGATCTTATCTATTTCTGATTTTATCTGTTTTGATTTTATATACTGTTTTGTTTGCTTGTTAATTAGTTAAGCTTAAATTTCAAAACTTACATTAACTACTGATTTTATCTACTGTTCTGATTTTATCTGTTTTGAGTTTGTTTGTTTGTTTGTTTGTTTGTTTGTTTGTTTGTTTGTTTGTTTGTTTGTTTGTTTGTTTGTTTAGTGGGTTTAGAGCTCTGGGTAGCTCCCCAACTGGGTCTAGACTGGGTCTAGAGAGTGTTTTAAATTCAGGGAATTTAAAATAGAAAGTAGCTCGTCCACAGAAGGACTGGTAGCTCCCCTTATGATAAGGGTTCAGATTGCGCGAACAGGTGTGGGATTAGAGCTCTGGGTAGCTCCCCAGCTGGGTCTAGACTGGGTCTAGAGAGTGTTTTAAATTCAGGGAATTTAAAATAGAAAGTAGCTCGTCCACAGAAGGACTGGTAGCTCCTCTTACGATAAGGGTTCAGATTGCGCGAACAGGTGTGGGATTAGAGCTCTGGGTAGCTCCCCAGCTGGGTCTAGACTGGGTCTAGAGCGTATTTTAAATTCAGGGAATTTAAAATAGAAAGTAGCTCGTCCACAGAAGGACTGGTAGCTCCCCTTACGATAAGGGTTCAGATCGCGCGAACAGGTGTGAAATGTGTGTGTTTAGTTAGTTAGTTTGTTTGCTTGTTTTAATCAATTTTAAATCATGCCTTTTATTTGTTTTTGTTTCTAATGTCTCTGTAAAGCACTTTGAATCACCTTGTTGTTGAATTGTGCTATACAAATAAATTTGCCTTGCCTTGGTAGGATTTGTAGAGAATTTATTTGTAAATCAGGGTGGAAAATAAGTATTTGGTCAATAACAAAAATACAACTCAATACTTTGTAACATAACCTTTGTTGGCAATAACAGAGGTCAAACGTTTACTATAGGTCTTTACCAGGTTTGCACACACAGTAGCTGGTATTTTGGCCCATTCCTCCATGCAGATCTTCTCGAGAGCAGTGATGTTTTGCGGCTGTCGCCGAGCAACACGGACTTTCAACTCCCGCCACAGATTTTCTATGGGGTTGAGGTCTGGAGACTGGCTAGGCCACTCCAGGACTTTCAAATGCTTCTTACGGAGCCACTCCTTTGTTGCCCGGGCGGGGTTTTTTGGATCATTGTCATGTTGGAAGACCCAGCCTCGTTTCATCTTCAAAGTTCTCACTGATGGAAGGAGGTTTTGGCTCAAAATCTCACGATACATGGCCCCATTCATTCTGTCCTTAACACGGATCAGTCGTCCTGTCCCCTTGGCAGAAAAACAGCCCCATAGCATGATGTTTCCACCCCCATGCTTCACAGTAGGTATGGTGTTCTTGGGATGCAACTCAGTATTCTTCTTCCTCCAAACACGACGAGTTGAGTTTATACCAAAAAGTTCTACTTTGGTTTCATCTGACCACATGACATTCTCCCAATCCTCTGCTGTATCATCCATGTGCTCTCTGGCAAACTTCAGACGGGCCTGGACATGCACTGGCTTCAGCAGCGGAACACGTCTGGCACTGCGGGATTTGATTCCCTGCCGTTGTAGTGTGTTACTGATGGTGACCTTTGTTACTTTGGTCCCAGCTCTCTGCAGGTCATTCACCAGGTCCCCCCGTGTGGTTCTGGGATCTTTGCTCACCGTTCTCATGATCATTTTGACCCCACGGGATGAGATCTTGCGTGGAGCCCCAGATCGAGGGAGATTATCAGTGGTCTTGTATGTCTTCCATTTTCTGATGATTGCTCCCACAGTTGATTTTTTCACACCAAGCTGCTTGCCTATTGTAGATTCACTCTTCCCAGTCTGGTGCAGGTCTACAATACTTTTCCTGGTGTCCTTCGAAAGCTCTTTGGTCTTGGCCATGGCGGAGTTTGGAGTCTGACTATTTGAGGCTGTGGACAGGTGTCTTTTATACAGATGATGAGTTCAAACAGGTGCCATTCATACAGGTAACGAGTGGGGGACAGAAAAGCTTCTTACAGAAGACGTTACAGGTCTGTGAGAGCCAGAGATTTTCCTTGTTTGAGGTGACCAAATACTTATTTTCCACCCTATTTTACGAATAAATTCTTTACAAATCCTACCATGTGGATTCATGGATTTTTTTTTCACATTCTGTCTCTCACAGTTGAAGTGTACCTCTGGTGCAAATTACTGACCTCTGTCATCATTTTAAGTGGGGGAACTTGCACAATCGGTGGCTGACTAAATACTTTTTTGCCCCACTGTAAGTGGTCGGCAGGTGCGCATTTGCTGTCAAAATAAAAACGCACACAAGAGAAGAAGTTGCAATGCGTGTTTGCATACATAAGATTTTCTGGAGGAGGACAGACATTTGTTTAGAACTCTTAAAGATGTCGAAGAAGCAAACTCCTTTAAGCAATTACTTTGGTTTTCCTCCACCTCCAAACAAATGTCAGAAGGAGTCCAAACCACAAAAGAAGCACGTATTCTCGGAAAAGTGGTTGCAGGAGGTGAGCTGGCTTCAAACAAATGATGAACGCACAGAGATGTGGTGCGGAATGTGCCGTGAAAATCCAACTCTAGCGGACAAAAACAGTGCCTTTTATATAGACGCAAACGCACGTTGCAACTTCTTACAATATTATACTTTAATGTATAATATTGTAAAGGAAACAAAACAGGAAAACATCAATCAAAAAAAATTGCTCTCTTTTTTATTTGGGCTACTTAAATTTATTTTGGGCTACCAAAAACTGAAGAGTCCCTGCCCGAAGGGCTGCCAGGGATTTTGAAATTTTGCGAGCCCTGAGATATATTTATTTATTTTTATTACTTTTTTGTTTCAGCAACATTAAATTTAAAAACTGTACTTTTGAGTTAAAATATATATTTATAATTTTAATAAATGACAAATTAAAAAGGCATGAACTTTTTTTTTGTTTCGAAAAAATATCGAACCGTGACACCAAAGTATCGAACCGAACCAAACCGTGAATTTTGTGTATCGTTGCACCCCTAATAAACATACATATATACACACACACATATATACATATATATATACAAGGTGAACAGCAGTATTACAGATCCCTGCGGAGCTCTTGTACTGTACATCACCAGGTTAGACACAGTACCGCCAGGTCTCACATACTGTGTCAGGTAGTCCTTAACCCATGAGTGGTTGTTAATATTATGGTTATTGAGTTAATTAAATCATTGACCTGCAGATCACTTGACTGGATATTACTCAACTTTAAGAGTTGTACAAGATCATCTAAGGAAACAACACACTTTCAAGTTGCATATTTTGTTACCAGATAAGATTCTTCTAAAGATCGCACAGAGTCACAGAGGAATGAATAAAACACCCTATTCCAGGATAAAGAGGTTCAGTGAATGTGGTGTTGAAGGTGTGGAGGTGGATCAGAGTGTCAGAGGAGACTCTGTAGAAGGACAGAGTGCCAGCAGGACAGTCCACAAACACTCCTACTCTGTTAGAGACAGAGGAGGACACAGTGGGAGACAAAAATGGGAGGAGAGCATGTCTGTTGTTGTGCCAGACAGAGAAACAATTATCAAAGCAGAAGAGACTCCAGGACTGATCATTCTCCCCAAACCTGCAATCAAGCTCGTCTCCTCTTCTTCTGATTCCTCTGTAACTCACAGCTAACTGAACATCTCCTTTCCATTCAAGCTCCCAGTAACAGCGACCTGTCAGGCTATTTCTACACAGCATTTGAGGACACCTGTCAAACCTCTCCGGATGGTCAGGATATGACTGATAGCCCTCATATACCACCTTCCTGCTGTTGTCAGTGAGCTTGAGTTTTCTGTTTGCCGTGTTTGAGTCCAGCGTGAGTTCACATGCATCTAATGGAGATATCAAAAACACAGCAAAGGTTATTCATCTGTTTGGAGTTCATTGAATGTGTGCTTCTTTGCTTTTATGAATCACATTGGAAACAGGCTTACACTTCCTCAGGCCTGGTCTCAACCACTGAACTCCAGTAGGCTCCAACCTAAAAGAAGAAGGGGGGGGGGGGGGGGGTTATCTCAAGCAATTATTGAAAAAAAAAAAAAATCCCCTCTCGCCCCTGTGGGCAGTCTATCCTTCAAGCTTGGGTCCTCTACCCAAGCTCAGGAGCTGGAGCAGGTCAGCTGCTGATCGGCAGGTTGGTGATTCGATCCCTGGCTCCCCTAGTTTGCATGCCAAATATCCTTAGGCAAGATACTGGGATCTGCTGGTGAGCCACCGCACCTAGTGTGCCGATTACCACTGTTACCTTCACCCTCCACATCTTCTCAAGCTCTTGTCTATGTGTATATATATGTATACATATGCATATGGTAAATGGTCTGTATTTGTATAGCGCTCTACTAGTCCCTAAGGACCCCAAAGCACTTTACACATTCAGTCATCCACCCATTCACACACAGGTGATGGCAAGCTACATTGTAGCCACAGCCACCCTGGGGCACATTGACAGAGGCAAGGCTGCCAGACACTGGCGCCACCGGGCCCTCCGTCCACCACCACAAGGGTGAAGTGTTTTGCCCAAGGACACAACGACCGAGACTGTCCGAGCCGGGGATCGAACCGGCAACCTTCCGATTACAAGGTGAACTCTCTTGTGCCACGATGTATTCGCCTTGTAATCGGAAGGTTGCCGGTTCAAGCCCCGGCTCGGACAGTATATATGTATACATATACACACACACACATGTGTATATACATATACACACACACACATACACACACACACACATATACATATTGTAGCGGGTCAGGGCTGTTCGGGGTTCTGTTTGTACAGTTATGTTTTGTTTATGTTGCTATAGTGATGGGTGACGCCCTCTCGCTGCGACGGTGTGTCCTTCCGCGGTCAGAGGGCGCCCTGTGTGTTGTTGTTTCCGCGCTGAGCGGTTAGCTAGCGGCAGTGTTCTTCTGCCAGTGTTAATAAATGGCTGTGCTCCCTGGCTAGCTCACGGGAAGCAAGACCAAACGATACCTCCGTCTCCTCCTTGTCTGAGCTCGCCACATTGGTGTCAGAAGTGGGATAGCTCACCCTCGCCGTAATGGAGAGAGACATTCAGAGGCTGGAGCAAGCCGTCGAGGAGAACATTCCCCGCTTGGGAAACTGGCGATGGAAGAGAGAGGATGTGAGCGACCATGTAAGTCACCCGACGGGTCCCGATGGCGCGAGCGCACGGCGGCAGCAGCCCGTCGCGACAAATGCTAGGGCAATGCTTCATGGGCTACCTCTGTCGACCCACACGCCGAGCCCCCAACCGCGAGCAGTTATGCCTACCACGCCAGTTAAGGTACCGAAATACAACGGGCTAACCCCGCTAGAGCCCTACCTCTCACAAGTGCGGCTGGCCGCCAGACATAGTGGCTGGAGCGAAGAGGAGACTGCTACACACCTAGCGCTAGCATTAGAGGGAGACGCACTGCAGATACTCCTTGACCTAGCCCCGGCAGAGCAGCATGAGCTCCAGGCCCTCACCGCGGCACTTGAGAGGCGATTCGGGCAGCGGCACTCCACTGATCTGAGCAGAGAGCAGCTAACCAACCGGAGCCGTCGACTGGGGGAGAGCCTGGGCACCTTTGCAGCAGACGTGTTGCTGTATGCTCATCGTGGCTACCCGGAGTTTCCAGCAGCAGCCCGTGAGGAGCTTAGCCTGCATACTTTTCTGCGAGGACTTTTCCCAGAGCGACTACGCCAACACGTCCGCCTGGCCATGCCTCAGACCCTCCGTGAGGCGCTCCTTGAGGCTGAAAGGGCCGAGCCGGTGCTCACCTCGCGACCTAACCAGCAGGAAACGAGGAGGGAGCGGTGTAGCGAGGGGACCACCACTCCAGCTTCCTGCCTCCCTCCAAGGACGATGCACAGTGGTGGGCCGAGTTGGGCACCTCAAGGGACTCTACCTGAGCTGCTGTGTTGAGGGCCAGCCATGCCAGGCCCTGGTAGACACGGGGTCTACCATTTTCCTGATACGACCTGGCGTGCTCCCTGAAACATCCGGGCCACTGGTGAAGGGTTGGTTGCCCACAGACACCCAGCTGATGACAGTGACGGGGGAGAAAACTGTTATGCGGGGGAAGAAACCGTTGCGGATCCGAGTGAAGGATCTAGAGCTGGTGCACGACTTCTGGCTCACCGACATTCAAGACCAGTGCATCATTGGCCTGGATCTGCTGAGCCGCTGGGGGGCCTGCGTCGACACCACGAAGCTGGCGATCACTCTTGGCGCAGAGACTTTTGCTCTCCAGCGCAGCCAAAAGCAGGGAGCGGGGACCAGATGAGACAGACGTCAGGCAGCTGCCGCTCAGCAGATTTCAGATGCCGGTGGCTCCGGGTCATCTCCACTCGCCTCAGCCTCTCAGCCTGACAAACCTCCTTTGACCGAGATCCAGCATCGGGCAGCTCGACAGCATGGCAACGCTGATGCCCTCTCCAGACGGCCCTGCGTAGCCGTCGAGTGCCGCTACTGCCTGCGACAGGAGAAGTGAGCCCAGGAGGTGCTGGGGGTGGCTACTGCTCAGGCCACAGCCGGCGGCGGGGCGTGGCTCCCATTGACAACGCAGCAGCTGAAGCGGGAGCAGGAGGCCGACACAACGTTGGTTCAGGTGGGGGCCTGGCTGGAGGCGGCGCAACGCCCCGCCTGGACGGGGGTGTCAGGACAGGAGCCCGAGGTGAAGGCCTACTACTCCCAGCACAACAATCTGGAGACCCACGACGGCCTCCTGTACCGGAGATGGCGGGCCCCGGTCAGGGCAGAGATCTCCTGCAGCTGTAGGTGCCTCGATCGCTGCGGTCGCAGGTGCTTGAGCTGGTCCACGACTCGGTGGGGGCAGGACACTATGGGAACGCCAAAACTCTCCGCCGCCTCAGGGGACGGTTCTACTGGCCTGGCTGTCGACGGGATGTGGAACTTCATGTGCACTGCTGTGACACCTGCACGGCACAGAAGGGCCCCACTCAACGCTCCACTGCCCCCCTTCAGCAGTACCTGGTGGGGGCCCCAATGGAAAGAGTGGGAGTGGACGTCCTAGGGCCTTTCCCCGTCACGGAGTCAGGGAACCGGTATGTGTTGGTGGCTATGGACTATTTCACGAAGTGGCCAGAGGCCTACGCGGTGCCGGACCAGAGCGCAATGACGACGGCCGAGAAGCTGGTGGAGGAGATGTTCACCCGTTTTGGGGTCCCGGCTGAGCTCCACAGTGACCAGGGGCATAACTTCGAATCGAAGGTCTTCGGGCAGATCTGCCGGCAACTGGGGATGGAGAAGACAAGAACCACACCGCTCCACCCACAAAGCGATGGCTTGGTTGAGCGCTTCAACCGCACGCTGGCCACCCAGCTCGCCATTCTCACCAGCCGCCACCAGCGGGATTGGGACCGACATTTGCCCCTGGTCCTTTGGTCATATCGGACTGCGGTGCAGGAGTCCAGCCAGTGCACACCTGCCGCTCTGATGTTTGGACGGGAGCTCCAGATGCCTGTGGATCTGGTGTTCGGGTCCCCCCCCCGAGCCGGAGATTGATGGTGGGCCAGAGATGGACTACTACAGGAGGCTGAGGGAGCGGCTGCAGGTGGTTCATGACTACACCCCCCAGGCCTAGGCCAGCGCCGGAGTACGACAGAAAAGAGCCTACGACACCAACTGCCGAGGGGGGTTTTCATGCCTGGCGACAAGGTTTGGGTGTACTGCCCGGTTCGCAAGAGAGGAGTGTCCCCCAAACTCTGCAGTCACTGGCAAGGTCGTGGAGCGGCTAACAGAAGTGTTGTGCCGTATCCGCATGCCGGGCATACATATACACACATACATACATACACATACATACACACACACACACACACACACACACACACATACACACACACATATATACACACACATATATACACACACATACACACACACACACACACACATATACACACACACACACACACACATATATACACACACACACACACATACATATATACACACACACACACATACATATATACACACACACACATACACATATATACACACACACACACACATATATACACACACACACACACATATATACACACACACACACACACACACACACACACACACACACACACACACACACAATATAACCATCCCTCCCAAACAGTGGTCACAAATCAGTCCAAATGTGTGGTAGTGGGCACATCTGCTCTATTGAGATAATCCATCCCACCTCACAGGTGTGCCACATCAGGATGCTGATCTGACATCATGAGTAGTGCACAGGTGTACCTCAGACTGCCCACAACAAAAGGCCACCCTGGAATGTGCAGTTTTGTCTCACAGCAAAATGCCACAGATGCCACAAGCAATGAGGGAGCGTGCAATTGGCATGCTGACAGCAGGAATGTCAACCAGATCTGTCGCCCGTGCATTGAATGTTCATTTCTCAACCATAAGCCGTCTCCACAGGCGTTTCAGAGAATATGGCAACACATCCAACCGGCCTCACAACCGCAGACCTCGTGTAACCACACCAGCCCAGGACCTCCACATCCAGCAGGTTCACCTCCAACATCGTCTGAGACCAGCCACCCAGACAGCTGCTGGAACAATTGGTTTGCACAACCAAACAATTTCTGCACAAACTGTCAGAAACCGTCTCAGGGACGCTCAACTGCATGCCCGTCGTCCTCATCGGGGTCTTGACCTGACTCCAGCTCGTCGCCGTAACAGACTTGTGTGTGCAAATGCTCACATTCGATGGCGTCTGGCACGTTGAAGAGGTGTGCGCTTCACGGATGAATCATGGTTCACATTGTTCAGGGCAGATGGCAGCTGAGAATGTCCCAGTTCTTGCATGGCCAGCATACTCACCGGACATGTCACCCATTGAGCATGTTCGGGATGTGCTTGACCGGCGTATACGACAGCGTGTACCAGTTCCCACGCATATCCAACAACCTCGCACAGCCATTGAAGTGGAGTGGACCAACATTCCACAGGCCACAATTGACAATCTGATAGACTCCATGCGACGATGTGTTGCACTGCATGAGGCAAATGGTGGTCACACCAGATACTGACCGGTTCTGGGTCCCCAGACCCCCAATAGCGCAAAAAACTGCACATTCCAGGGTGGCCTTTTGTTGTGGGCAGTCTGAGGTACACCTGTGCACTACTCATGATGTCAGATCAGCATCCTGATGTGGCACACCTGTGAGGTGGGATGGATTATCTCAATATAGCAGATGTGCCTACTACCACACATTTGGACTGATTTGTGACCACTGTTTGGGAGGGATGGTTATATTGTGTATCTGGAATGAATTTTAGGTCTCTACGTCCATCCCGTGGGGAATGGGAGCAGTAACAAAGGTGTTGCGTTTATATTTTTGTTGAGTGTATATACATATACATATACACACACACACACACACACACACACACACACACACACACACACACATATATACACACACACACACACACACACACACACACACACACACACACACACACACATACATACATACAGTACATATACATATACACATATATACATATACACATATATACATATAGGAATTTTATATACATGGTTCTTTGAAAATGAAGTCTTGTGAATGTGGTCTCTAATTATGAAATTATATATAACAAAAGACTAGTTCTTGTACTTGGTCTCAAGCTAGTAGTAGGGCTCTCCATACCTGAGCGTGTCCATTCTCCAGTGTGGATCATTCAGTCTAGCTGACAGCAGCTTCACTCCAGAGTCTCCTGGATGATTGTAGCTCAGATCCAGCTCTTTCAGATAAGAGGAGTTGGAGCTCAGAGCTGAGGCCAGCGACACACAGCCTTCACTTGTAATCATACATCCTGACAGCCTGCAGACACAAAACACAGCAGAAAACAGAAGCTCATTGTATAGTAAAAAGAAAAATAACTTAGGAAGGGTTCGATTTTTTGTTTTAAAGTCAACCCACTATTGTATCCAGTGTTTGAATGAATACAGTCCAAATATAAAAAAAAGTTTCTATTGAGAAATAATTCCTAAAATACTGTCAAAGCTACTTTTAAACTCCCCTTGTTATTCAATTCAATTTTTATTTATATAGTGACAGATCACAACAAAAGTCACCTCAAGGCACTTTATATTGTACAGTAGATCGTACAATAATAGATACAGTAGAAAAGCCCAACAATCATATGACTCCCTATGAGCAAGTACTTTGGCGACAGTGGGAAGGAAAAACTCCATTTTAACAGGAAGAAACCTTCGGCAGAACCAGGCTCAGGGAGGGGCGGCCATCTACTTTATTTGTTACCAGTTATCACTTGTTGACCTGAGCATTTCCAGTTTGCACTGTGTCCTCTTCAGCGCAGCAGATAGCATCTTCACTCCTGAATCTTGCAGATCATTGTGGTTCAGGTCAAGCTCCCTCAGGCTACAAGTCTGTGAGATGAGAACTGAGGACAGAACGTCACAGCTTCTCTGTGAGAGTTTGCAGTCACAGAGCCTGGACAGAAAATAATAAACACGAAAAACATTTCATTTGAAATGTAAATAAAGTGCCTCTATCAACCAGCAAGAGTTAGAAACATAAGAAATTAGAAACAGATTGGTAACAGTTGCAGCTAAGTTAAATAATAAAATAAATCTTTCAGGGACCAGAGGGTGGGAATTTCCTAAGTGTGCAGCTGTGGGAAATGCATCGAAAACATTTGATTTCATCAGCTAAACATTTGCTATCCATAGTGTAAATCCTGCAAGTCACCACAAATTCCTCTGGGTGTAACATGCTATACAAATCTAGGCTGTATATAATAGAAATCATTAATAGAAAAATACTACAGGAGAATTCAGGGTGACCTTATCCAACCCTGACTTTATGAACAAGGAAGGTTTTTAAACCCAGTTGTTAAAGCAGAGAGAGAGTCCTCACAAATCCAAACTGGGAACTGGTTCCACAAATTCGACATATACACTCTCCAGCATTCTGGATCAATTGAAGGTGTTTCACTGAGCTTTTAATGTAATAAATGACAACACTCCACTCCAGAAGTATTAAATATATGAACTACTTTTTCAGCATCACTGTAAGCCAGGATGTTTTTAATTTTAGAAAGATTGTACAAATGTATGAAAGCAGTCCTACATTTTCCTAGCATTGTTCATAATTTCTTCAATCAGTGAAGACTAAGATGTCCTAGCTTTACAGAGGAGTTTTCTAATGACATACAGAGGAGCAAGCTTATTCCAGGCTAAATGAAGATCTTTCTGGTTTCTTTCATGCACAAGAGTCCTACAAATTGAGGATATAACATTATTAACAACTCCTCTGTCGAAGTTTAGGCCCTGGTGCTACATTTAATCTGTCTATCTGAAATTTAGCTCCCTCGTGTAATGTGCTGAGATGTGCAAAAAAGTCATACTAAAAAACCCAATAACAAATCAGCTACAGTGGGATGCAAAACTTTGGGCAACCTTTTTAATAGTCATTATTTTCCTGTATAAATCGTTGGTTGTTACAATAAAAAAAATGTAATTTAAATATATCATATAAGAGACACACACAGTGATATTTGAGAAATGAAATGAAGTTTATTGGATTTACAGACAGTGTGCAATAATTGTTTAAACAAAATCAGGCAGGTGAATAAATTTGGGCACCAGAAAAAAAAGAAATGAAATTAATATTTAGTAGATCCTCCTTTTGCAGAAATTACAGCCTCTAAATGCTTCTGGTAGGTTCCAATGAGAGCCTGGATTGGGGTTGAAGGTATTTTGGACCATTCCTCGTTACAAAACATCTCTAATTCATTCAGGTTTGATGGCTTCCGAGCATGGACAGCTCTCTTTACCACAGATCTTCAGTAATATTCAGGTCTGGGGACTGAGATGGCCATTCCAGAACGTTGTACTTGTTCCTCTGCATGAATGCCTTAGTGGATTTTGAGCAGTGTTTCAGGTCATTGTCTTGTTGAAAGATCCAGTCCCGGCGCAGCTTCAGCTTTGTCACTGATTCCTGGACATTGGTCTCCAGAATCTGCTAATACTGAGTGGAATCCATGTGTCCCTCAACTTTGACAAGATTCACAGTCCCTGCACTGCCCACACAGCCCCACAGCATGATGGAACCACCACCATATTTTACTGTAGGTAGCAGGTGTTGTTCTTGGAATGCTGTGTTCTTTTTCCTCCATGCATAACGCCTCTTGTTATGCCCAAATAACTCAATTTTAGTTTCATCAGTTCACAGCACCTTAATCCAGAATGAAGCTGGCTTGTCCAAATGTGCTTTAGCAAACCTCAAGCGGCTCTGTTTGTGCTGTGGGCGGAGCAAAGGCTTCCTCTGCATCACTCTTGCATACTGTTGGTTGACTCTGACTGTTCTCACCATTCGTCGCTTCTGTCTATCCAAGATTTTTCTTGGTCTGCCACTTCGAGCATTAACTTGAACTGAGTCTGTGGTCTTCCATTTTCTCAATATGTTCCTAACTGTGGAAACAGCTTACATCTCTGAGACAGCTTTCTGTATCCTTCCCCTAAACCATGATGGTGAACAATCTTTGTCTTCAGGTCATTTGAGAGTTGTTTTGAGACCCCATGTTGCTACTCTTCAGAGAAAATTAAAAGAGGAGGGAAACTTACAATTGACCCCCTTAAATACTCTTTCTCATTACTGGATTCAACATGTATGTAGGAGGTCAGGGGTCACTGAGCTTACCAAGCCAATTTGAGTTCCAATAATTAGTTCTAAAGGTTTTGGAATCAATAAAATGACAACAGTGCCCAAATTTATGCACCTGCCTGATTTTGTTTAAACAATTATTGCACACTTTCTGTAAATCCAATAAACTTCATTTCACTTCTCAAATATCACTGTGTGTGTCTCCTATATGATATATATAACTGACGTTTTTTATTGTAACAAACAACGATTTATACAGGAAAATAATGACTATTAACAAGGTTGCCCAAACTTTTGCATCCCACTGTATTTTGATTTTAAGGTGCAAGTCTGGCTGCATCTTTTGTGAGTTCAATCCAAAGATATTGGTGATGTAAAGTTGTGTTTTTGTGAAACAGCATTTTTCGGGCAAATAAAATATAAGTATAGTTCGATCTGCCCTAAACATCACATGCTTCATGAGAATCCAAGCATTGAGATATCTATGCTGCGATATTAGATCACACATAGTGTCATCTCATGTAGATCGAATTTACATTAAAGGCTCCAACCAAGATGTACAAAAGTAACTACAGCTTGCCTGGACATACACAAGGGCCCTATCATCTGTGCTTGCAACCTTATTATTATCATTATTATTATTATTATTTAGTTTATTAAGTATTTAGAGTTCTCATGCCTTTTAACTCTGTTCTGACCTGAGTGAATCCAGTCTGCAGTATGAACTCTTCAATCCAGCAGACAGTATCTTCACACCAGAATCTTGCACATTGTTGTTACTCAGATCCAGCTTCCTCAGATGAGATGAGTCACAGTTTAAAACTGAGGACAGAGCTTCACAGCTTCTCAGTGAAAGGTTACAGCCACTTAGTCTACAGGGAAAATAATCAGTCAATCAATCAATCAAATAACAAAGCAATGATTAGCTCTTCTAGTAAGCTGAGTATCTCAATGAATATCTGTGTACTTACACAGCTTTCTTGGAGTCTTTGATGACTGGTAGCAGCCTCAGAAGAGCCCTTTCTGAAACCTGATATTTCTTCAGCTCAAACACATCCAGATCCTTTTCTGATGACAATAAGATGAAGACTACGGCTGACCACTCGTCAGGAGACAGTTCGTATGCGTAGAGACGCCCTAAACTCAGGATCAACTGGATTGTCTCTGCTAGAGAACAATCATTCAGTTCATTCAGACAATGAAAGAGATTGATAATTTTCTCTGTAGGCAGATTCTCACAGAGCTTGTTCTCAATGTACCGGACTGTCTGTTTACTTGCTTTTGAGATACTTTCTGAATCAGTCACAAGGCCTCTGAGTAGAATCTGATTGGTTACCAGTGAAAGACCCAGCAGAAAGCGGAGAAATAAGTCCAGGTGTCCGTTTGGACTCTGTAAGGCCTTGTCCACAGCACATTGGTAGAAGATTGTAGATGAGGTTTGTTTTTTTACCAGCAGATTGACTCCAGAGTTGATGAAGGTCAGATGGACATGAAGAGCAGCCAGAAACTCCTGAACACTCAGATGGATGAAGCAGTACACCCTGTCCTGGTACAGTCCTCTCTCCTCTTTAAAGATCTGTGTGAACACTCCTGAGTACACTGATGCTGCTGTGATATCGATGCCACACTCTGTCAGGTCTGATTCATAGAAGATCAGGTTTCCTTTCTGCAGATGATCAAAAGCCAGTTTCCCCAGAGACTCAATCATCTCCCTGCTCTCTGGACTCCAGTGTGGATCTGTCTCAACTCCTCCATCGTACTTGACCTTTTTCACTTTGGCCTGAACCACTAGGAAGTGGATGTACATCTCAGTCAGGGTCTTGGGCAGCTCTTCCTCATCTCTGGTTTTCAGCACATCCTCCAGAACTGTAGCAGTGATCCAGCAGAAGACTGGGATGTGACACATGATGTGGAGGCTTCGTGATGTCTTGATGTGGGAGATGATCCTGCTGGCCTGCTCCTCATCTCTGAATCTCTTCTTAAAGTACTCCTCTTTCTGTTGGTCAGTGAACCCTCTGACCTCTGTCACCATACTAACACATTCAGGAGGGATTTGATTGGCTGCTGCAGGTCTTGTGGTTATCCAGAGGCGAGCAGAGGGAAACAGATGTCCCCTGATGAGGTTTGTCAGCAGCACATCCACTGAGGTCGACTCTGTAACATCAGTAAAGATCTCAGTGTTGTGGAAGTCCAAAGGAAGCCGACACTCATCAAGACCGTCTAAGATGAACACAACCTGGAAGTCTTCAAAGCTGCAGATTCCTGCTTTTTTGGTTTCAGTAAAGAAACAATGCACAAGTTCTACCAAGCTGAACTTTTTCTCCTTCAACACATTGAGTTCTTTGAAAGTGAATGGAAATGTGAATTCAATGTTCTGGTTGGTTTTGTCTTCAGCCCAGTCCAGAGTGAATTTTTGTGTTAAGACAGTTTTCCCAATGCCAGCCACTCCCTTTGTCAGCACTGTTCTGATTGGTTCATCTCTTCCAGTGGAGCCTTTGAAGATATCTTCTAATCTTATTGTTGTTTCTGATCTGTGCATTTTCTGGGATGCTGTTTCAATCTGTCTGACTTCATGTTCATCATTAACCTTTGTAGTCTTTTGTTCTGTAATGTAGAGCTCTGTGTAGATCTGATTAAGAAATGTTGGGTTTCCTGCTTTAGCGATCCCCTCAAACAAACACTGGAATTTCTTCTTTAGTTTGGACTTAATTTTGCAATGACACTGAACAAAAGCATCTTAAATACAGAAAGAAAAAAAATGGAAAGATGTAAGAGTTAGTGAACAATGAAAACATTATCATGGATGTGTGTGATCAGTTCTACATTTACAGTGTAGGATATCAGTACAATATTACAAATTCTACCCATCTTCCTAAAACTTATCCAGATCCAGGCTGTCTGAGCCTTCTAGACCTCTCCCTTATCCTCCACTGTATCCTTAATCTTCTAGAGGTTACCAAAGGATTCTCAAGCCAGCTGAGAGAAAAATCTTCAGTGTGTCCTAAGTCTGCCCTTGGCTCTCTTCTAAGTTGAACTTTCTCAAGACCCCTCACTTAGAAGATGTCAGGAGACATTTTAGGCAGATATCTGAGACATCACTTAGTCATTATTAATAGATGGGACTGCTGCTCTGTTCAGGGCCTCTCCTTAATGGCTAGAGGTGGCAAAATTACTGAAATAATATTAGTAAACCAAAAAAAAAAAAAAAAAAAAAGTACAGTCAGAGAATAGTGAGATTTGGCAGGTGAGGGTGACCCTATGATTGATATTATTATCATTTCTATTGAAAGCTCAAGTAGAATTTCTTTGTCTGCAGGTTTTGATCAGCTGACCTGCTGGTGCTGATCTGAAGTTTACAGCTCTTTGTGGATTTACACAACCGATAGAAACAAGCTAATACTTCACAAACTATCTTGGCAGTTTACTCTTTATACTTTCTTTACACTAGACTGTATTCAGTTGATATGAAGGTTGAATTCAGTGAATTTGTCAGGGTTCTGGGTTTTCTGACCTAGCATTTTGAGTTCCTGTGATTTATATCATTTTGTGTTGTGAATTATGTATCAAGTTCTCTTTGTTAGTCTATAGTTTATTTCTACAGGGTCTCTAGTTTCTTGTGGCCCCGGTTTAGTTCCCTGATGGTTTAATCATTTCCCTCTGTATAGTTGACCCCTGTGCCTTCCTCTGTGTGTTTAAGTTTATACTGTTATGAGAGTTCTTGTGCCTTGTGTCCACTCCTTACGTTCCATGTTTTCCTCATCCCGTCATGTCTGTGCTTCCTCTCGTGCCCCTCTCGTGCCCCTCTGTGCTCTCTCTCTCTCTCCTTCTCTCTCACTCACCCTCCAATCTGTCTCTGTGTCCTCCCAGTTTTGTCACGCGTGTAATTGCCCTCAGCTGTGTCTCCCAGCTGTTCCCTGTTCTACTATGCCATGGTTATATCAATGGCTATACACTGCCTCTCTCTCACTTCTATTCCAAAACTAAATAGTGTGCGGCCACTGCTCACTTTAAAACACTGAATCACCCCCAAAACTCTAACCCACCCTGCTAGACATGGACAATGTGAAGGTTAAGGCAAAAGAAGCTTTTGAAGCAAAAGTGTGTCATAAAGTTATAAAAAAGGTGTTTGTGTGTGTGTTTTTTAACATAAACTGGAATTAAGGTAAAATAGAAGTTTGGTTCTCCCTAATTTATGTTGGGTTTCCATCATTAAACTCTAGTGGACAAAATCTGCTAGCATTGTTGCTAGTCAGTCACAGATCATCTACTTTGGAAGTCTGGGAAACTGAGAAATTGTTCAACTCATATAGCAGATTAACTAAAGATTTGTTTGACTGGAGTTGAAAACTGTTTGTGGTTAGATATGGGCAGACTCACCTTTTCACACAGAAGCAAGTTAGTGAATTGTGGAAAGGTGAGAAAGGTTTAGATTAAATCAGCTATTTCGTCTCCCCCCTTTTTTATTACATATATTACAGTTATATTATCAGTCTTTGCGTAGTATGATTTAGTACCATAATGAACACATACCTGTGGCATTAGCTGGTTGATCCTGCAGCAGAATTTGGGGAAATGGTTGTCCTGTTGAAAACCAATAATGGATTCATTTTCATTATTGTTTAAAACAACAGGTACAGCCTTTATATTTCCTCTAAATAGCAGACCTTCATTCCTTTTGATCTTCTTTAAAATCTTCTTTGTCACCGCTGCAGTCTTTGTATCGTACATCTGCACCATCAGGTCCACTGTGTCCAGTCTGTCTGCGTTCTCCAGTCGACTCTTTTTGATTGGCTTGAAGCCATCCCTTGACTCAGTAACATTTTGCAGACACCACTTGAAGTTTTTCAGCTCTTCAGTTCCCAAAGTCTCCAGAGTTTCCCACAGCCATTCCTTTAAAACGCCCGTCTGTCTTTTTTATCTGATAAAGTAAGAGAACGTTTTTGATAATTCGTACACTAAACAATGAACAAGAAAGAGTCGTTTTATAAAATCTCACCAACATCTGAGTTATTAACAGAAAAAAAAAAACAAATAGACTGGTCAAACAACAGATAATATAGGCTTTTAAACCATAAAAATCAACATTTTTGTGCGACTAACATCAAATTTAACTTTGCTTTCCAATTTTGCATTAACCTGGGATTGTTTCATTTTAGACAGGCTTTCTTAAAAAAGGACAGTCTAATTGTTAGGTCAGTGTTCTGCTTAGAGGTCCGAGTGACCTGAGTTGACTCTTTGCTGCTTGGTCTTTGTCATCCTGCCTGTGACTTTGTTATCAGAGTGCAGTCTGTTGTTCCCTGAGGCTGACAAAACTACCCAATTTTGTTTCCTATCTCAAGGTGTCGCTACATTAGAGGTAACATTTACTGTGCATTTATCTTCTGTGTTAAATTATATGCCAAGCATGAATGTGGTGTCAAACGTGATGTTGTACGCTGAGGTGGATAGGTGTTTTCTAAAATGAAGAAGAGACAGAATAATGACTTGTTCAGGTTCAAATCAGGACGCTTCCCTTTGCTGTGGCTGTAATGTGATGTTTACCTCAGTCTGCTTATCAGGAACAAAAGAGGAAATAATCTTTTTTTAATATAAAGAAAAGGAACTGAAACAGGATGAAGCATGACTTACAGCACTGCTGTTCAACACTGGACAGATCATCTGCTGGGGCCCAGCCTGATCCTGATCCATGACATGTTTACAACCGAGGATCTGAAGACTGAAGAGAGATCATCCAATTTTAATGAATTATTTAACTGTGCATGGTTAATATCTCTATAAAGAAGTGTTTCATGTAAAGTGAGAAAGCAGATTTATGAGTCACACCTTTACTTCAGCCTTTTAATCACAGACGCTCTGTTGATTTACAGTTCTGTGGTTTTACTGTTACTAGTATTTCAGTGACTTACTTCAAAGTTGCAGAGGATTCTTGTTCAGGTATGCTTGTTGTTTCAGGCATCAGTTCATGTTTAGATTCAGGTTCAATTTTAGTACAGTCTTGTGTTTGATTCACTCCACAAAACAGTGAAGAGGACAAACTGGAAGGGAGGCGCTTTCGAGTAATAAACACAGGTAACTCCAAGTACAAGTCAGTCGTTAGAGATCTGCAGCTGGGCCCAGGTCTGGCAGAATACAGTGTGTACCGCTGCTCTGAACTATAATGCGACACACACACACACACACACACACACACACACGCACGCACGCACGCACGCACGCGCACGCGCACACGCACACACACACACACACACACACACACACACCTTTGAGTGTGAATAGGGAAAAGTGCTGAGCTGTGACATGGAGAAGAGTCATGGACAGTTAGAGATGATCATCTCACCTCTGAGCTGTGGTCTGGCTCTCATGTTCCCCACACAGAGTGGTTTTAGATGGAGGGACTCCCTCCTCTCTGTCCTCACACTGATACATGCTGCTGAATTCACATCAGCTCACACACACTTTCTACCTTCACCTGCAGAGGAAACACAAATCATTCATGTGCACATTGACTGAAATCCTCCTTTCTACCATGTGTGCTGTCCAAATATCAGCTGCTTCTTTTCTGCTTCATCTCAGTGTCAGCTGAATGCAGTCAGACAGCAGTAAATACTGTCAGGGTGTTGAGGTGAAGCAAAGTGATCCAAACTGATTTGATTAGGTGTGGAAACCACTCCAACCACTGCAGTAAGAAGAACAAATGAATGACAGAAGTTTGCTTTGTGAACAAACAGGAAAACATGAAGAAAACCTTCCAGTTGTCTAAGTATATACACACACACACATATATATATATATATATATATATATATATATATATATATATATATATATATACATATACACACACACACACATATACATACACACACACACACACACACACACACACACACACACACACACACACACACACACACACACACACATATATATATATACATACATATATACACCTACATATATGTATATGTGTGTATGTATGTATACATATACATAAATATATATACCCCCCCCCCACACACACACACACACATATATATACACACACACACACATACATAAATATATATACACACATACATAAATATACATACACATACATATACATACATATATACATATACATATATACTAGGGGTGCAACGATATTCGTATCGATATTGAACCGTTCGATACAGTGCTTTCGGTTCGGTACGCATATGTATCGAACAATACAACATTTGTAATTTATTTTATCAATTTTCCTTCTGACGATGCTGTCTGTGTTGAGCGCTCAGTGAATCTGTGTTCGACTACTCCGCCTAGGCTGCACTGTCGAGCGCAGATCCACTGAGCGCTCAACACAGACAGCATAGTCAGAAGGAAGAGCGCAGGGCAAGCTAGCGAGACAGAAGTTAAGCTCTCCTTGCAAGATGGACCTCCCCCACTCTCATTCAGTTCTGGCGTTTGGAATTATTTTGGTTTTCATGTGACGTATGACCCTGAAGGTAAGCGAGTCATGGACTAAAGTAAAACAGTATGTCGGATGTGCCACACAATGCTCAATTACATTGGTGTGAACTAGTGTGTTAGCGCAGTTAGCTCGTTAACGTGTTGGCTGTCTAGCCCCATGCACGGAGCGATCGGCGGTAACTCGTTAACGGAGATTTGCCGTGTTGTGGCGTTAAGGTCATTTCAACGAGATTAACCTGAAAGCACTAGTGGGAACACAACGAATATGACTGCACATTTACGCCGACATCATCCTAGTGCAAAGACAAGTGGAAGCAGACAAAAAAAAGCAAGCATGCTACTAACTTTAGCCGAGTCATTTAGACAGCTGTTAGCACATGATTCTCCTTATGCTGCTGAGAATATAGCCCAGAAGAAGC